CTCATTTTACTTGCAAGACTCATAACCTTGCCAATATAGTCATTCACCGCTTCTCCCTTTTGCATTTGGAGAATTTTAAAGTCTCTTCTAACCGCTTGAAGTTGAGCACGCTTTACTCATGTTGAGCCTTGATACTGTTAGATAAAACCTGAGTTTTACCGTTTTTTCTTATTCACACGATTTCTGAAAATCGCCAGTTTGACCATTTGACCAAACACGTAGAATGGATCAACAGAATTTTAGACTGAAATTTTGTAGGGATTGGCACAGATTTAGTTGGCCACTCTCCAGCCATTTTAGAATGATTTTTATTTTAAACAGGAGATTTGTTCAGAAAATAAAACAACCACGCAGTCAGAATTCAGTTAATTTTCTCTCTCCTTTGGTATCAGAGCCAAGTTGAAGATCGGTGTATATCATTGCAAAGGAGCTAACCTATCAACAAACAAGTTGAATAGCTCAAGTGGTTAGAGCTTTGATCTAACATCACAAAGGTTTCAGGTTCGAGTAGAAGAAAATGCGAAGTGTAAAAACACACACATCGTGGGGCCCATCTCGGTCAGTCTCACTCACTCCGCCACGAAGAGGCTTACGCCGTGATGACGGGCGTCAAGTTATCGTTGAGCGAGTGATCAGGGAGACAACAACTGTCGTCGTTCAGTATCCAATATTATTGTCAAAGTCCAATCATAACGAATGGATCTTGTGGATGCGCGTCAACCTACAGGCGCAAGGGTTATGGCATGCTGTCGAGCCAGAGGAAGGAGAAACGATTGAGTACCGTGAGATCGGTTGGCGTTTGCCGCCATATTACGATTTGTGCCCCCAGAGATGCTGGCATCTCTCTCCACCAAGCGCACCGCGCAATCGGCCTGGGAGGGAATCAAATCCCGTCGGGTCGGTGTACAGCGTACAGCGAGTGCGGGAATCCAACATCGAGCAGTTGCGGAAGGAGGTGACAGGCATCTCTCTCCACCAAGCGCACCGCGCAATCGGCCTGGGAGGGAATCAAATCCCGTCGGGTCGGTGTACAGCGTACAGCGAGTGCGGGAATCCAACATCGAGCAGTTGCGGAAGGAGGTGACAACAGCGTACGGCCATTTAAACTTTCCTGCTCTAGAAAAACTACAGAAGGGGGAGTTAGTGTGCCAGCAATCAAAGGCGTGAGAACAAGCTGTGCGACGGGGTGCCTCATCGCCAAACAGAGGCGCACACCCTTTCCGTCTCGAATCGATGAGCCGAGCCGATGAGTCGATGAGCTTGTACATGGTGATATCTGCGGGCCCATCAAGCCGGCGACCCGAGGCGGTCTGCTTCATGTGGCTGACCCTGCTGCAAGCGAAAAGTGAGCGACAACAGCGTACGGCCATTTAAACTTTCCTGCTCTAGAAAAACTACAGAAGGAGGAGTTAGTGTGCCAGCAATCAACGGCGTGAGAACAAGCTGTGCGACGGGGTGCCTCATCGCCAAACAGAGGCGCACACCCTTTCCGTCTCGAATCGATGAGCCGAGCCGATGAGTCGATGAGCTTGTACACGGTGATATCTGCGGGCCCATCAAGCCGGCGACCCGAGGCGGCCTGCTTCATGTGGCTGACTCTGCTGCAAGCGAAAAGTGAGCGGAGGCCGAATGTGAGAAGAAGATGCGAGTGCTACGCACAGATCGTGGCGGAGAAATTAGGCGCCCTACTCCCCCCAACAGAACGGAGTGGTGGAGCGCCGGAATCAGACCATCGTCGGGACAGCAAGGTCATTGTTGGTGACGGCCTGGATGCCTGGGAGATTCTGGGGACGGCCGTCTATCTTCTCAATCGGTCACCAACCCGAAGCTTTGACGGGGAGACACAATATGAGGGGGACGGCCGTCTATCTTCTCAATCGGTCACCAACCCGAAGCTTTGACGGGGAGACACAATATGAGGAGGAGGTGAACCACCTGGACTGGCAGTGCGATTTTACGTATGGACAATTCCTCAATATCTTGTTCATTCGCAACAAAATATTTTCTTTGTGCGGCGGTAAAAAAAAACATGCTTTTTTGGAGAGAGATACTATTTCACCAATCGAGTCACAGGTATCTAACATATTCATACCTAACGATTTTCCACAAAGTGGTGACGAAAGGTATAACTTGTACAAATCTTTCCATTTTCCAATTCGATCCGATCCATTCGTTCGTCGAGCTATTTACTCGATCGCAGACATTTCTGGAACACCTCTAACAGAGGGACAAATAACCGAACACCTTCGCCGAAGCAGAAAAGAACCCGTGCTGGCTGAAGGCAATGCAGGAGGAGAGAGATGACATCCATCACCGAAAATCAGACGAAGAACCCGTGCTGGCTGAAGGCAATGCAGGAGGAGAGAGATGACATCCATCACCGAAAATCAGACGGTGACGGCCTGGATGCCTGGGAGATTCTGGGGACGGCCGTCTATCTTCTCAATCGGTCACCAACCCGAAGCTTTGACGGGGAGACACAATATGAGGCTGAGCCGGAAGAAGGGAGGAGCCCAGCATCCAACCCGAAGCTTTGACGGGGAGACACAATATGAGGCTGAGCCGGAAGAAGGGAGGAGCCCAGCATCAGCCAGCCGTCACCGCCGCCAGCAGGTGCAACCCCTGAACCAGTGGAATTTGCAACACCACGGACTGCGGATTCGATGCTGGATGCCGATCACGATACTGATCTGGAGGCCAGGTACCGGAGGCTGGACAACCTAGTAGGAGGAGGTGAACCACCTGGACTGGCAGTGCGCGAGCTCGAAGAAGTGGTCGAACTACATGCCATCAGTGCCAGATGAACCGAACACCTTCGCCGAAGCAGAAAAGAACCCGTGCTGGCTGAAGGCAATGCAGGAGGAGAGAGATGACATCCATCACCGAAAATCAGACGTGGAGTCTGAAGGATATGCCGCCGGGACACTAAGAGAGAGATGACATCCATCACCGAAAATCAGACGTGGAGTCTGAAGGATATGCCGCCGGGACACTAAGCCATAGGGCTCAAATGGGTCTTCAAACTGAAGCGCAACGAAAAAGGAGAAGTTGTGAAGCACAAGGCCCGTCTGGTGGCGAAGGGCTACGTCCAGAAGCAAGGAGTGGACTTCGAAGAGGTATTTGCGCCAGTGGCAAGGTTAGAATCCGTTCGTTTCTTACTTGCAATTGCAGCACATTACTCTTGGGAGGTTCACCATATGGACGTAAAGTCTGCTTTCCTTAACGGAGACTGACAGTACCTTACTGTCACTGAAATTCAAACGTTGCGCCTCTGAGCATGGCATGTACACGCACGGCCATGACAAGAAGCGACTAATCGTGGGAGTGTACGTCGACGACCTCATAATCACTGGAGGTGACATGGAAGTCCTCGGAAGGTTCAAGAAGGAGATGTCGAAAAACTTCGAGATGAGCGATCTCGGCGTGCTCAGCTACTATCTCGGCATCGATGTGTAACAGAATTCTACCGAAATCTTCATCTGCTAAAGTGCATACGCAAAGAAGCTGCTGGACACAACTGAACTTGTGGACAGTAATCCTACAAGGACGCCAATGGAGGCCCGACTCCAACTAAGGAAGGCTGGCACTACGACGACAGTCGACTCCACCAATTACCGCAGCATTGTCGGGAGTCTGCGCTATCTGGTAAACTCTCGTCCTGATCTTGCTTATTTTATTGGATATGTGAGTCGGTTTATGGAAGCACCTAGGGAGGAGCATTTAGTGGCTGTCAAGCGCATCCTGCGCTATGTAGCCGGAACCAGAGGCTGGGGTGTAAGATACTGCGCAGGGAGCGGAAAGGAGAAACTCAAGCTAGTTGGCTACAGTGATAGTGACATGGCCGGTGACGTTGATGATCGTAAGAGCACTAGCGGAATGATCTACTTTCTCTCAGGCGGCGCAATCTGCTGGCAATCAATAAAACAGAAGGTAGTTGCTTTGTCTTCCTGTGAAGCAGAATACATCGCCGCTTCGATGGCAGCAACACAAGGGAACTGGCTTGCGCGACTAATGGAAGAACTCATCGGGAGAGAAAATGATCCACCAATGCTATACGTAGACAACAAAGCTACGATCTCCCTGATCAAAAATCCAGTTTTGCATGAACGAAGCAAGCACATAGAAATCAGATTCCACTACATTCGAGAATGTGCAGATCGAGGGCTCATCAAAATTGATTACATCCAAACAGAGGAACAACTTGGAGACATCTTCACCAAGTCCCTGGCGCGGGTGAAATTTGAAGAACTACGCTCAAAGATCGGAGTTCAAATAGTAAGGTAGATATACTACAGGTTTTAGGAGGAGATTGTTAGATAAAACCTGAGTTTTACCGTTTTTTCTTATTCACACGATTTCAGAAAATCGCCAGTTTGACCATTTGACAAAACACGTCGAATGGATCAACAGAATTTTAGACTGAAATTTTGTAGGGAGTGGCACAGATTTAGTTGGCCACTCTCCAGCCATTTTCAGAATGATTTTTATTTTAAATAGGAGATTTGTTCAGAAAATAAAACATCGTGAACGCAGTCAGAATTGAGTTAATTTTCTCTCTCCTTTTGTTACGCATTTTCTTCCAACAACCAATTTCCTCTCACCGAAATTCTGTGAAAAACAACAGATACTTCCTCCTCATAGAATCCCAAATTTTACTTGATGTCTTCTTCTAAAGCATTGTTTCCAAGATAGTCTGATCAATGGACTGGAATAAATAGTTCTTGACCTTTAGGTCCTTCAACTTCGATGCTGCCACGTTGTTGTTGAACAGCTGAGAGTACCTCACCTTCATTTGGCTCTACATAACCCGTCGCCACCATATCAAAGAACTCCTTTGATATAAGGAAATTTTCCATTAACATCGACCAATGATCATAGTGACCATCGAATCTCAGGATAGCGGGCTAAATGTAGTTATCAACTTGTCTTTCTGCTGCCATTCTTGCTGCTGCAAGATCGCTCTGATACTAGTTGTTGGTGACAACAGAGAAATTTAGTAGAATTCTTTGAGAGAAGAGAACTTTGTAAAACTATGAAGGAATGCTTGATTGATTTTATACTCATTCCACCAATGCCAACATACATATATATAGGTAATTAGGGACATTCCTCATTACCATTCATTATCCAAAAGTGTGCACCTATTCAATTCGAAACAAATAAACTTACATATATTTATTCATACATGTACTTATACATGTATCTATACATGTACAAGTGACCCTTCAACACATGTATCTATTCATACATGTATCTATTAGTGACCTTTCAACACATGTATCTATTCATACATGTATCTACTAGTGATCTTTCAACAAGATCTTCAGTAAGTGAGATTGCCGGCTAAAACACTAGTTCCTTTACGTTAATTTTTATCAATCTTGCTCGCTTAATATGCTAAGCTTTGCTTACGATTGAACTTCAGGCGCTAACATGGTCGCCCTAAAACTCTTACAACAATGGTTAGATATGTACTTTTAATATTAATTGCATTATCAATTTGTCATGCCATCCTCACATATATTATATAAATTAACATCTATTCCTTAATAAATCAGTTTTCTCTCCTTGTGTTCATGCCATGCTGAGTTGACTACATGCCCATGTTGTGCCCTTGTGCCATGCAAGCCTCACGTAGCTTGTGTGCGATTGTTAGGAAAAGGATACTGAAAAGAAACCGAAGAATACAAAATGAGATCAAAGCTACGAATGTTTTATTATTGTTTTATTCCTTCATTATCAAAAGAGTTACAAGTTCCGATATATACAGATTTATACGGTAAATAAAATTCAAAAAAATTGGAAATCCTATTAAACAATTGACCATAAACAAGTTCAAAAGTTTCGAAAACTACTAAAAACCTCCTCAAAACTTTGAATCACATCTCAACAATTCCGAACTTTTCTTTTGATAAAACCTTAGTAAGTAAGCAAGCAATAAGTAAATTATTGATTCCACATAAAACCTATCTTGTTTGTCACTTTTGTTGTTATTGAATATTTAGTAAGTTTTTTTAGTTTCATTCAAATGGATGTGGGTGATTTTGAACTAATTAAACAAAATTATGCAGAATGTCACGGTTATCGAAAAACAGCAACAATGAGAAAATCAACAATAATGAGAATGGTTCGGCTAAGAAAGATTAATAGATAAGATGTTGAACTTTGTGGTGGATTTTAGTTTCTTTTAATAGATTCCCAAGCCCACTTCCGAGGGTCATGCATGGTAATTACTTCTATAATCGTTTTGTAATTTCTATTTACAAAGCTCGGGAGTAGAATTATTTCTAACCCTCTTATTACGTTCAAGTATCCTTGCAATGAAACTAGAGTATTAAAGAGAATGTAATTGTTCTCTCTCTCTCTTCTTTCGAATAAGAGAATACTACATATGTAAAGTAACCCACTAAACAAACATATAAATCAACATTAATAAAAAAAACTCTTTAATAAACTAAAATCGCACCATCAACGTATTTAAACTACATAAAACTCTCTCTCGTCTCCCCTATAACATTTAGCTCTCCATCAAAATTGAATTAAACAAAAGAATCTATATCTTAACCAAGAATAGTAGAAGAGATTAAGGGATTAGAGAGTCAATAAGCTTGTTGCTATCCTTCAATTGAAGTTCCCTTCCTTTGAGCTCTTACATCCACCCCTTTATCTTAATCTATCCTTCTTGGTCTTCTTTTCGTTTTGCTGTCAACTGCTACTGGATTAGGGTTCTTCTTCTTCTACCTCTCAAGTTTCACAAAACAGCAGAATCTGCTGCGGTCTATTTTCTTGTTTTCCCAAATGTGTCTCCCCTCTCTTTTTATGTATTATTTTCTTTTTATATTGTTTGTTTCTTCCCATAATGGATGAGAAAGGATAAGTCGTCCACCTAGCATGCTCCTAATTGGATAGACAATGACCCACGTGGCTTGCCAATTTGGATTATAATTTACATGTCAACCTCGAAAAGTTTTCGTTCTATATTGTTTTAGCATCAAGGTCAACAATTTTTCGTGGGAGAGTTGTACAATTTATATGTTTTTGATTGAGTAACCAATGAAAATGCATTTTTCTTTTTTAGATTTTTCATCCATGACGAATTTGAGGATTTACTAAAGCATATGCAACGCAGCCAAAAATTTGTAAATGATTTCCAAATAGTTCCTTTCATGCCATGTTTCATAAGAAGTTCGACTCATGACAACTTCTGTTGGTGAGAGATTGAATATTGGTGAGAGATTGAATAAATAGACAATGTTGATACAACTTCCACATGAAATTGGTTTGAATATGTTCTTGCTTGTAACATACTTCTTGTCATCTCCACAACAGTTCAATTTTTTTGTCCAGCGATTCCATTTTATTCTAGAGTTTAGGGAGTTGTTAACTTCCTTTAGACGTCCTTCTCTGAGATCCCACATCGGTTGGAGAGGAGAACGAATCATTTCTTTTAAGGTTGTGAAAACCTCTCCCTAATATTCGCGTTTTAAAATCGTAAGGTTGATGGCAATACGTAACGGTCCAAAGTAGACAATATCTGTTAGCAGTGAACCTGGGCGATTATAAATGGTATTAGAGCTAGACACCGAACGGTGAGATAGTGAGGATGATGGGCTTCAAGGGGGTGGATTGTGAGACTTCACATTGGTTGGAGAGGAGAACGAATCATTTTTATAAGGGTGTGGAATCCTCTCCCTAAAAGACACGTTTTAAAATCATGAGGTTAATGGTGATACGTAAAGAACCAAAGCGGACAATATCCGCTAACGGTGGGCTTAGTCTGTTACACATTTTCTTTGCAAAACAAATTGAATTCTTTAGATTAAACTCATCATCTCTTTCTGTGCGATTGGAACCGGTGACACGAGGATATTTTGAGTCCTCTGCTCTACTAACTAAGCTATAAAAGAATTTTAATGTGGCAACCACTCTGGTGCGAAGAACTTTAATGTGACAACTACTTTGGTTGTCCATCGTAGCTTTAGAATTTTAGAACTTCAAAAAAGTTTTTTACTTTTGTTGTTGCAGGAAGTAAACTTAACTCATGCAATTATAGTCATCAATAAAAAGTAAAAAAATTAAATACTCCTACCGAAAGATTTATTTTACATTGTCTCACATAAATCAACATGAATTAATTTTAGGAACTTTGAAGCTTTTTTAGCTTTTTGGAGGACTTCCTACTTTGCTTTTTATAAATGCATCATTCACATAAACCAATTGAATCAATGGTTGGTAATCCAAAAATTATACTTTCATCCCTAAGCATTTTCAGGCACTTCATATCTCATATGTTATAGGTCGAGTTATCTTTTATGCTAGCATCAAGAGTAAAATTTCGCATGTTAGATATTCAATGGAAACATCTTATTTGAAATCACCACAAATTGAGTAACACAATATCTAGCACTTCAAAGTGTGAATAGATCTGAAAATATTATTACTCAAGGAAACAATACAGAGTTAAGAATGAGAAATAGAATTGGGATCGAAAATTCTTAATCTTCATTGATATTCACAACGTTTAAATAGGATACAAGCTACCAACTAATACCTACAAATAATGAAAATGTAAACTAACTAAATCTTGAGAATAAAATAAAATATACTACTAATCAAATCAGAAAGAGAAAAATATTACCTGATTACGAATCATCTACTATATATTCCATAACTAATATATTCTCCAAATATTAAATGATTATGAATATCTTGACTAATTCAAACTAGCAATAAGTTGCACTAAAATCTAACAGTCTTACGAAAAACTTCAAACTTCACTTTGGCAAATGTCTTAGTAAATATGTCTGCAACTTGCTCATTAGTATGTATTTTCTGCAATTCAACATCCTATGATAACACAAACCTCTTGTGGACGTCTGCCTTTCACGTCACCAGCCCAATCAACATCCACAAAACCACTAGGATTTTTATCAGATTGAGCACCCCGCCCCACTAGTCCAGAGTAATTGAAACCCAGCCCAGCTACACCGGAAGAAACGCATCTTCCAGAGCCTGATTGATTAAAATACATGACAGCACTTAGTGGAGTCCCTATGGTCGGAGGAAATCTGGGTCCTGATAGTCCTGGTGGAATAGCTAACATACTCATATCAATACCACGAGCACCAAGCCAAACGGGAGGGGAGAATGGTGGGATAAAAAAACTTGGAGAAACGAGTGGGCCTGGACCTAGTGACATGCCAGGAGTAGGTGGCTGCATTGGTCCTTGTGGAGGAATTCCTAAAGGTCCAAAAGATCCTATCATTGACAATGGAATTTCACCCTGTTGACTCTTTCACTCTTTCCTCCAGTAGGTCTTGCTCTACCTCCTTTCCCTAATCTATTTCCTTTCATTCCTTGCTGAGTAACTCGATTGAAGGATCTCAGCTCTTGGTTACCATAGAGTTGATATGAACCACTACTAGAACTTTAACCACCACCAACACGACCGGAATTTAAACCTTTCTGGTCTCTTCCCTTCCCTCCATGAAAATCAAAGTCGTCCTTGCATGAATTCTGATCTTTTGATTGCTCCAATTCTAATGACAAAGAGTTGTAGGCTTCAACAGCTTTGATTCCATCTAATTGAAGCTTTTCCACAGCTGCTTTCGTTGTTTCGAATTGATTTTAGTTTTTCCTTGCAATGTCTGCTTGAGCTTCAGATTCTCTACAATAACTGAGCTCATTTTTTAGTTTTTCAACAAGGGAGAGTGTCTCTAAGAGTTGTGTTCTTAAATAATGCATCTCAACTTGTGTAGACTCAGCGAGGTTACTTCGGATTTGGTCGAATTCAGACACCATGTACAGCTGAATCTTGAGCCTCTGAACTTCATTCATGGCGGAGGCCAATACAACAGCATCCATTGCGTGGTGCTTCTAAACAGCTTCAAGTTCGGACTCTCATGCTCGATCGCGATCTTGAGAAATTTTATGCAGTTCTTGAACACGATCTTCCTCAGAAGCTGAGAGCTCAAGCACCTGCTGTTGGGATTCTACGAACTTTGCAGACATATCTGATAGTTGTTTCGTTGCTTCTTCTGCTTCTTGTTGGGCTTGCTTTT